AATTTTTTTTTTTTTTTTTTTTTTTTTTTGGGGGAACACGTGAAAAGTCGAATTTTAAAATTATTTATTTTATTAAAAAAAATTTACTTTTTTCTGATTTTGGATGATTAATGGTTAAGCACGTCCTTAATCTGAAAGGGGATCCCAGAAGGCAAGCAAAAATGAACGGAATGGATAATTCTGCCATGGGATTTGTACAAGGCAAGTGCTCTTCTCATTTACTTTTGGTTCTTGTATTAAACGGATTTACATATAATCTTGATTTTTGTATGTGTGAGCTTGTTTTTCCTGTGACTATATCGTAGTTCCGTTGCAGATAAAGCCGGCGATAGTGATTCCGACACGAACTCCGATGAGGCTTTCGATTACTACCAGCCAATCTCAACCGTAACCGCCGGCGATGACGATGGAGCTCTCTCCGACCAAAATTCTGATGACGACGAAGTCAACAATCACTACTCTAATTTCCATCCTCTGTCCAATGGCTACGCGTCGGGACATTGCATGGGGAACGGATTTTCATCGCTTGATCTGAGCGATGAAGACGAAGAAGAAGAGAGGAGTAGGGAGACTTCTGAATCTGAGAGGGCAATAGAGAGAGCGTTCAGAGAGGACGAGAGACGGCGTCAAGCTCCTCTGACGTCTGAGAATGCCAGCAGAGTGATGGAGGCCATGAGGGGAGTGTCGTTTGGCGGGTTTACTCCGGACTGGGCGGGTCGGATCCCCGAGGATCGGTGGATCGATCAGCTCCGAAGATTAAGACAATCACCATCCACTGGTACTGGTACTGATACTGATACTGCTTCTTCTACAATGAGAGTTGAATGAGTGATTTTGACGCTCGTCTACCGTTTGATGAATTGTCTGAAAGATCAAATTTATTTCAGTGATAGGTTTATCCAAAATATGCTGCTACTTAGTGTGGATTTATCCCTATGATATGCATTTTGAGTCCAGTTTGCTAATTTCTTGTTTGATCACTGAATTTGGGTAGATTCTAACAATAACTTTTATCTACATTAATTTGAAGTTCAACTTGAGATCTAATTCAGACAGTATAAACTGTTTCTGTAAAACATTTATAGGATTAAAATGCAATCTTGGTTAAAAACATTTTAATAAACCTTCTTCCAGGTCCTTATTCATGCTGAATAGTAATATAAATGTAAATCAGTAGCTTTGTTTTTATTCATGCTGAATAGGAATATAAATGTAAATCAGTAGCTTTATCTGGGGTGCCACTGTTTTCTTCTCTCTGTTGATGCTGGCACTGGACCTTTCAATCTTAACATAGTTGAATTTGCTAGACTAAAGAGTTCTTGAACTGAACTAGTTGGTTCAATTTGGTTCTCGGATGTTTTACCAAGCACTCAGCTATTTATTGTAGTTCTTGATTTAATATTCTAAATTAAAGTCGACCCATCTGCATCTTTCTCTGTCCCGCTACTTCTTCATTCTTTACCCATTTTTTAGATTGATCTTCCATTTGTATTTCTCCGACCTGAGGCAATAGACAATCATAGAAAGAAAATATTATTATTGTTTTTTTTTTTCATAAAATGCATAGGCTTAAATGCATTTTACCGAGAACTTGGCTATTTAGTTCGTTTCTTGCTTTAATATTCTAAATT